TGCTGCTGCTGCTGCTGCAGCGGTGGCGTTCGCGATGATATTTTACTTCTCGCTGCTGTCGTGCGAGACCTGGGGCACCGAGCGGGAGTGGGCCGTGGCCACGCTGGTGACCATGTCGATGGCCGTGGCGGACTTGTGCACAGCGGGCTGGGGCATGCTGGTGCTGGTGACCTCTTCGCGGGCCATTTTGCTGGAAGCAGCAGCAGCAGCAGCAGAAGGCTGCAGCGACTGGAAGGCCTACTTCTTCTACTACGCAACTGCTGTCGTCATCACTGCCCACGTCACTGTCGCCATTAGCTGCGCTGCGGTCGCCGTGCTGCTCACCAGAGGTGTTGGCAGCCAGCTCGAGGAACTCAGACACCTAGTTTGAGCCAAACCCTAAACCCTAGGGTTTACGGTTTAGGGTTTAGGGTTTAGGGTTTAGGGTTTAGGGGTCGCTGCGGCTGCTTGCTGGGCTGCAGTGGCGGTGCTGGTCACCAGAGGTGTTGGCAGCCAGCTCGAGGAACTCGGACACCTAGTTTGAGCCAAACCCTAAACCATAGGATTTAAGGTTTAGGGTTTAGGGTTTAGGGTTCATGGTTTAGGGGTCGCTGCGGCTGCTCGCTGGGCTGCGGTGGCGGTGCTGGTCACTAGAGGTGTTGGCAGCCATCTCGAAGAACAGACACCCAGTTTGAGCCAAACCCTAAACCCTAGGGTTTACGGTTTAGGGATTAGGGTTTAGGGTTTAGGGGTCGCTGCGGCTGCTCGCTGGGCTGCGGTGGCGGTGCTGCGGTGCTGCTCACTAGGGGCGTCGGAAGCCAGCTACAGGAACTCAGACACCTAGTTTGAGCCAAACCCTCAACCCTAAACCCTAGGGTTTGGGGCTCAGGGTTTAGGGTTTGGCTCGGAGAGGCGGGGCTGGGGCTGCTAGTTCCGCTTCTGTGGCGGGGTTTCTCACTGCAGGCGTTCGCAGCCAGCTCGAGGAACGCAAAGACCACATTTGATACAAACCCTAAACCCTAAACCCTAGGGTTTAGGGTTTAGGGTTTCTCGTGGTGGGGCTGGGGCTGCTAGCCGCGCTCCGTGGTGGCAATGCTCACTAGGGGCGTTGGCAGCCAGCTCGAGGAACTCAGAGACCTCGTTTGGTACAAACCCTAAACCCTAACCCCTAAACCCTAGAAGGGGCTGACGCCATTAGCTGCGCTGCTGTGGCGGTGCTGCTCACCCGGGAAGTTGGCAGCCAGCTCGAGAAACTCGGACACCTAGTTTGATCCAAACCCTAAACCCTAGACGCTAAACCCTAGGGAGTGCTGGGACTGCTAGCTGCGCTGCTGTGAAGGGACGTTGGTAGCCAGCTCGAGGAACTTGGACACCCCTTTTGACCAAACCCTAAACCCTAAACCCCAAACCCTAAACACTAAACCCTGACTGCCAGTCCTGGCGCCTCCCCAGATGGTGCTGCACTGAAGCTGCAGCACCAGGGGCTGCAGCAATCTGCTAAAGAACTGAGAAATTAGGGTTTAAGGGTTTTGCTTCGGGCAGGAAACACAAGTGCTGCAGCTGGGGGGCTAGGGTTTAGGGCGCGCTGCAAGCAACGGCAACTCCCAGCTGCACCAGCAGCTGTTGCTGCAGCTGCTGCAGCAGCTGCTGCTGCTGCAGCGCGAAAAAGTGTCGTCGGGGCAGCCTCAGGGAGCGAGGAAATGACTCAACAGGCTTTCGCCTCCAGCAACGAGCTGGTGCAGCAGCAGCTGCTACAGCAGCAGCAGCTGCAGCAGCGGCTGCGGGGAGCAGCAGCCGCGCAGAGAGCCGCAGCGCAGCTGCAACAAGAGGCTGGAGCAGCAAGCAGCAAAATGGAGCTTTAAAGAAGATCTAATTTGCTGCTCGGGGCCCTCAGGGGGTCTCCAGGCGGTCGGTGTAGTACTGTACAATGGCGTCTGCGCACATACGACACATCCAAACCCTAAACCATAAACCCTAAACCCTAAACCCTAAACCCTAAACCCTAAATCCGAACTCACCCAGCTGACTCAGGAAGCGCGGGGTCTCGACTGTGTCCAAGAAGAAGGGGTTGGAGACCGCGTCGGCGTACAGCCGGTGAAGCCGCTTGAAAAACTGCAGCAGCAGCAGCAGCAGCAGCAGCAGCAACAGCATGAGGCAGCGCCACAGGGGCGGGGCAACAGCTAGCTGCCTGCCAGCTAGCCAATGCTCAGGCGCCGACACAGCGGGTGCTGGCGGGCGCGCCCTCACTAGAGTCCCGCTAGCTATCTAGCTAGCTAACTTGCTAGCTGGCTAGCTGGCTAGCTAGCTAGCTGGCTAGCTGGCTAGCTAGCTAGCTGGCTAGCTAGCTAGTGGGTCCTAGCTAGCCACCCAGCTAGCTCGGCGCTAATTCCAGCACAGCGCTATAATATATCAGCTGGCCTTCTGCTCAACTAGCCACTGCCCTAACCAGCTGGGTAAACGGCAATGTTAACTGGCTAGCTAGCCAGCTAGCTAGCTAGCAAGCTAGCTAGCTAGCCAGCTAGTCAGCCAGCTAACCAGCTGCACCTGCGTTCCTAGCCAGATAACAGCTATGGCTACCTAGCTAGCTGGCCTCTAGCTAGCTAGGGCGGTGAGAGCTCCAGCTAGCTAGTCAGATAGGTGGGCAGCTCCAGCTAGCTATCTGTTGCACGAAGCTAGCTACATGCGCAGCTAACGCTAGCTACCCAGGAGCACTGGAGCTAGCTAGCCGCGGCTCTAGTGGCTAGCTAGCTAGCTGGTCAGCTGAGCTGCTACTGGCTCTCTGGGCTAGCTGGCCGCGTAACTAGCTGCCTAGCTAGCTGGTAGCTAGCCGTCCCCTAGCTGGTGGCTAGCTGGTGGCTACCTAGTGGCTAGCTGGTGGCTAGCTGGTGGCTTGCTGGTGGCTAGCTGCCCTCTAGCTGTTAAATAGCTGCCATCTATTTGCCCTCTAGCCGCCGTCTATCAGCCTTCTAGCTGCCCTCTAGCCGCCGTTTAGCTGCTGGCTAGCTAGTGGCTAGCTGGTGGCTAGCTCCCGCCTAGCTGCTGGCTAGCCGTTGGCTAGCTGGTAGCTAGCTGGTGGCTAGCTGCCGCCTAGCTGCTGGCTAGCCGTTGGCTAGCTGGTGGCAAGCTGGTGGCTAGCTGGTGGCTAGCTGGTGGCTAGCTGGTGGCAAGCTGGTGGCTAGCTGTTGGCTAGCTGCTGGCTAGCCGTTGGCTAGCTGGTGGCAAGCTGGTGGCTAGCTGGTGGCTAGCTGGTGGCTAGCTGGTGGCTAGCTGATGGCTAGCTGGTGGCTAGCTGCCGTCTAGCTGCTGGCTAGCTGGTGGCTAGCTGCGGCTAGCTGCGGCTGGCTGTGGCTAGCTGCGGCTAGCTGCGGCTAGCTGCGGCTAGCTGTGGCTAGCTGTGGCTAGCTGCGCACGGCGCGGAGCTCCTGCTCCTGCAGGGCCCCCCTCAAAGTGAGAGCCACAATTATCTTGAGGCCAGTGGGCGCGGCGTAGGCGAAGAGGCTGGCGTCCTGCGCAGTCCCCAGCGAGGGCCCCGCGAGGCCCAGGTAGCTGTCGCCCCCCGAGGGGCCCCCGGGGGCCCCCGGCTGCTGCTCGCTCGCCACTGAAAAGAAGCAGCAGCAGCAGCAGCAGCAGCGGCGGCGGCAGCGGCAGCAGCAGCGGCAGCGGCAGCGGCAGCGGCAGAGGCGGAGGCGGGAGGGTGGAGATGCAGGGGGCACGGATTAGTGCTGTGGCAGGGATGCTGGGCGTGCAGCAGCAAACAAGCAGCAGCAGCAGCAGCAGCAGCAGCAGCAGCAGCGGAGGGGGGGGGCTGGGTCTTACGGCGTTCGTCGATGACGTCGAGGGCTGCGTAAGCAGCAAACTGCATCGGGAGCTCCTCAGTGTCCCCGTACACGCGGAAACAAAGCGGCTCGCTCTGCAGCAGCAACCGTAGCAGCAGCAGCAACAGCAGCAGCAGCAGCAGCAGCAGCAGACATGGGGGGCCCGGAGAAGAGAGAGAGGGCTGCAGGGATATAGAGCAGCAGCATCTGAAGTCACAATCAAACAAAGTGCTGAAAACGCACCTGCCGCCCCACGTAGCACACGCAGGCCACAGACATTTTCAAGACACCTGTAATCGAGCTGCTGCTCTGGCTGCTGCGCTGCTGCTGCTGCTGGTGCTGCTGCGCTGCTGCTGCTACTCTCTTCTGGAATATGCACACAAGGGCCACATGAGCCCCTACGAGCCCATGTTTCAGAGGAACGACGCCGGTCTGAGTCCTCCTTGTCCTTGTTGCTGCTGTTGCTGCTGCTGCTGCTGCTGGGAGCGAAAAGCTTAAAAGCTCACTGAGAAGCTGCGACAGAAGCTCAAGTGAGACGGAGAGAGGGTGACAGCGGCAGCTATGGCGATTAAATCGGACCCTCTACAGCGCAGGAGCAACGGCAGCCGCAGCAGCAGCAGCAGCAGCAGCAGCGTTGGCGGCGGCAGCGGGACGGATACGCGGAAACACTAAGCACAGGCGTTTCTGGCCCCTTGCTGCTGCTATTAGACCGTCTCTTATTTGTAACTTTTAAAAATTATAAAATGGAGAGGGAAGAGCAGGGTGGGGGGCCCCAGGGGCCCCCCTGGTGCCTTCTTGACTGGCAGCCCCAGCAGAGTCCCGACGACCTCACCACCCCCCGCTGCTGCTGCTGCTGCTGCTGCTACTGCGGCTGCTTGCTTTGTTGCTCACCTTCTTCTTTGTTCCTTCCTCAAGGAGCCCCGTGTAAGCAGCTCTGCGGAGCCCTGCTGCTGGGAAGCCACAGCCGCAGCAGCAAGAGCAGCAGCAGCAGCAGCAGCAGCAGCGGGAGCAGCAGGTAGTATTAATGGAGCAGCCAGCCTTCTTTTCTGTGTCTGTTCATTTCTCCCTCTCCACACTCAGCCACTGAGGCCTCCCATGGGCGGCGATCACCAGGAAGGGGGGCCCACCCCCAGACAGCCGAGCAGCAGCAGCAGCAGCAGCGACAGCAGCAGCAGCAGCAGCAGCAGCAGCAGATGCAAGGCTGAACGCCTCGTGCCTTATCTGCTGCGGGACTGCCTGGGCATCCCAGTTGAGCTGCTGCGTCTGGACGCGCTGGAGTGTTACAGGCTGGCGTCGAGCAGCAGCAGCAGCAGCAGCAGCAGCGGGAGGCGCGCGTGCTGCCCCGCAGCGTGCCCCGGGCGTACGTACACCGCGGGGGCCCCCCCCCTGCCCTTCTCGAGGCCCCTTCACTTCATCTCTGTTCCTCTGGACTGTCCGGAGGCAGCTCGTTTGGGGTGTCTGTGCAGCTCGGAAGCAGCAGCAGCTTTGACGAGCGTGGCTGCCCGCGCAGCAGCAGCAGCAGCAGCAGCGGCGGACAGCAGCAGCTACCGCTGCTCCCGCTGCAGCGGCTGGCTCTACCAACGCTTCTACCCCTGCTACTTCCCAGTCAACGCCAGCTGCCTGGGCTGTGGGGCCCCCGAGGATGTGGGGGCCTTCTTAGCTGCTGTTGCGGGGTCGGGGATCGTCTCCTCCCGCGCTGGGATCGATCCCCAGCCTTCCTCCGCCAGGGGGGCCCCCGTTGGGGCCCCGGGGCCCCTCAGGGCGAAACCCCACACCCGGGGGGCCCTCTTTGTGTCACCTTCTTTTGCCTACGCAGCAGACCCTATTTTTGCCCCTTACATCCACCTCCAGGTCCCGCAAACCCTAAACCCTAAACCCTAAACCCTCGGCTTCCCCACTCGCTGCAAAAGAGCCGCCTCAGTGGCGGCCCTGCTGCTCCTGTTGCTGTTTTGCTGCTGCTGCTGCTTCTGCTGCTGCTGCTTCTGCCGCCGTTCCCGTTGCCGCTGCTGCTTCGCTTGTCGTGCGCTGCTGCTCACCGCTACTCTGCTGCTGCTGCTGCTGCTGCTCAGAGGGCTGGCTGCCGGCTGCAGGTGCTGCTGGAGTGTCTGCTGCACCCCCTGGGCTTCTCCCCGTGGCCGCGCTGTATGTACACATCGGAGCAGCACAACAGAGATTTGATCGACAGCAGCAGAATGGCTTCTTCTG